ATGTGGAATCTGCACTAGCATGGACCATTGCACAGACTCGTGCCCCATTTTGCAAGAGGACGGGGCGGAGCAGGTGAACATGGCTGGAGGCGTGCCCGCGCCTCGTAGGCAGTATGATCCATACTCCAACACGTACAATCCGGATTGGAGAGACCATCCCAATTTCAGCTATGGGAACAAGCAACAAAATTCATTTCCGAATCGTCCACCAGGATTTCAGCAACCATGGCAACCGAAATCACAACCATCATCCTCCAACACAGGGAGTTCCTTGGAGGATATTGTCAAGAGTCTGGCTACGACTACCGCCCAGATCCAGCAAGAGACTAGACAGTTCCAGCAGGAGACCAGGTCATTGACCACAAATATGGCTCAACTCCAGCAAGAAACTAGAGCTTTAACCATGAGCACCACTCAGTTTCAACAGGACACCAAAGCAGGCATGAAGGACATGGAGATTCGAATGAGTCAAATGGCAACTGCCATTACCCGCCTGGAGTCCCACGTCTATGGGAAATTGCCATCACAACCCGAGGCAAATTCCAGGAATGTAAGTGCCATGACATTAAGGAGTGGCAAAGAGGTGGATGGACCTAAAGTGGTAAATTCGAAAAGCAAAAGTGAGGAGGAGATAGAAAAGGAGATTGAAGAGGAAGGGCGCATTCGCGAAGAGCCTAAGGTAACATCTATTCCTTCGATCCCTATTAAATCTAATATAGCTCCTTTTCCTTGCAGGTTGGAAAAGACAAAGAGGGCAGAAAAGGAAAAAGAAATCCTGGATGTGTTCCGCAAAGTTCAAGTAAACATCCCCCTATTGGACGCGATCAAGCAGGTACCCAAGTACGCAAAGTTCTTGAAAGACTTGTGCGTTAACAAAAGAAAGCTAAGGGGTGATGAAAGAGTGATGGTAGGAGAGAATGTATCAGCTGTACTTCAAAGGAAACTCCCACCCAAATGCGGAGATCCAGGTATGTTTGCTATCCCCTGTAAGATTGGTCATTCTAGTATCAAAAATGCCATGATAGATTTAGGAGTTTCTATTAATGTGATGCCTAAGTCAATCTATGATTCCCTAAATTTAGGACCTTTAAAAGAAACGGGGATAATAATTCAATTGGCTGATCGTACATGTGCTTATCCGGATGGGATAGTTGAGGATGTTTTAGTGCAAGTAGATGGATTAATTTTTCCTGCTGATTTTTATGTACTTTACATGGATGATAGAAGTGCCCCAAATCCATCACCCATTATATTAGGAAGACCATTTTTGAGTACTGCCCAAACTAAAATTGATGTTAGTAAGGGTACTCTCACGATGGAATTTGATGGAGAAATAGTCCATTTTAATATTTTTGATACAATGAAACATCCTGTTAACTCTCATTCTGTGTTTGCTATGTATACCACTAATTCCTCTGTGCAAGAATTTCCTAAGTTTGCTTATAGGGGTAAATCCAAGGTTGCAGCGAACAAGTCCTATAGGATGAAAGCAATTCATGAGGTAAAAATGGAGAGAAAATTCAGGAAAAAAGTTGCACTCAATGGCCATGTGGATCCTGGAGGAGGGCCACCAATTACAAGGAAAATTCAATTACATCCAGACTAAAGAGTGGTGCTATGTCTAGCCAAAGACATTAAAGAAAGGCGCTGCTTGGGAGGCAACCCAAGGCTTCTTTTGTTTTAGTTTTCTTATATTTTTGAAGTTTTTGTTAAGTGTTAGTGTCATTTAGTGGGTTGTTATTTTGTGACAGGAAGTTGGCAGCTAGACATGCCCACGCTAGGTCATCACACCTAAGGAATGGAGTTTTGGAATTGACGGTCAGACGACTATAACTTCTAAGGCGTGCCCACGCCTTCCAATCCTTCCGAAAAAGAAACTTCAGTCTTCTCCCTCCTGTTGATGTTGCGTCCGCCGCCACCACACCACCTTGTGCACGCGGCCGTCTCACCTCCTCAGCCTTAGTGTCTCACTTTCTCTCCCCGGTGGTCAGGGAAGTTTCTTCTCTTTTTCCCTAATACTTCATTTGTCTTTTCTACATTGAGGACAATGTAAGTTTTAGGTGTGGGGGGATTAGTGGCTTCCATTATTTCTTTTTTCTTTGTTACTCGAAAAAAAAAAACAAAAACAAAAAAAAAATGAAAAAAAAATGAAAAACATTGTACTTAGTCGTCTTTTTGGTTATTTTTGCTTGTTAATGCTTGAGCATGTTGCTGTGATAAATAACACAATCAAGATGCATGGGTATGTGGGTAAATATACTAGCTATGCATTTTGTTTCCTTTGGCAGTGTCGTTGAATGTTAGATATACTGGATTAGACCCATTTTTGAAACTTTTGGGAGCTTTTGAGCCTTATATGAGCACATTATTCTTGTTTGCTCTATTTTTGTTTGATTGAGTGGGTATCACACATGGTATTGGCATTCTAGAATTTGCTAGTTTATACATGTCAAGGCCACATTTTTGTTGAATTAGATGCATTTGAAATGATAAGGGCATTTAGGATTTAACCCTCTTTAGCTATCTAAAAAAATCAATCCCTCATCTTATCTCCCAATAGTAAACCAATTTGAGCTTTTGTCCCTCGTTTCTGGTTGTTACCCATATTTGTTAACCCAAGACCTCTTTAAACTTTTTTGTTTACCCCTGTGTTGTCAAGGGATGCCTGAATTCCATCATTTGTGCGAAAACAAACAAATTTGGGGGGTTGCAAGTGGTTTTAGATTAGGTGCCATATGATGTTAGCCTTGTAGAAAGAATGAGAAATTGGAAGAGGGCCACTGACCAGTGGACTATGGCTTACAGGGCGTGCCCACGCCTTACAGGACTTTCTCTTCAAAAAAAAAAAAAAAAAAACCTTGAAGAGACCTCGTGACCAGAGGACTATGGGCTACAAGGCGTGCCCACGCCTTGCAAGCAGTTTCCAAAAAAAAAAAAAAAAAAAAAATATTTTGGGCACTTGTACGGGGTGTACAGCAGATGGAAACTGCCTTATTAGTTAAACTCCGTCGATAAAGCACTGTGGTTACTGGGGAGTTTCGGACATTCTCTTGACACTTTACCCCCTATCCATACCTTCTTAACCTGCCTTTCACCTGAGCCCCATTACAACCCTATTAAAGTCCCTTTGATTTATGTGTTCGATTCACTTTTAAGTGGTGGAGATGTGATAAATGTGCAAGCCTATGGTAATGGCATTCCGTGATGTTGAATTGAGCGTTCCTAGTATTCATATATATTCTTCGAATTACAACATGTCCGGTGTGTTCTACCTTTTGTGATATTGTCAGGGACCCTAGATGCTTGTGTTAGTATAGACAACTGCATAACCTCTGCTCTCTTGGTTGTATTTCTGAGCTCCGAAATGCTTGAGGGCAAGCATTGTTTAGGTGTGGGGGGATTTGATAGAGCCGTTATTTGGCACGTTTTGCATTGTCATCTTGTCCTAATTTTGGCCATTCATGGTGCTAAGAAAGGGGATTTCACTCATATTTGACATTTGTGTGAATTGTAGGTGGTTAGCATTAAAATGATATCGCGGGGAAAAATTTCCAGAAGACTTTTCATTTCAGAGCGTGACCACGCCTTGGAAGGTGGACGAAACCGAAAGACGGACCGTGGTCCATGTGGACCAGGCGCATGGGATCAAAACTCAAAGGGGGAAATGACTTTTGCAGATTGATTTGCACCAGACGTTTCTTGGCTTTTGGACTCCTTGGAATTGCGGCGGCTATAAAGAGAAAAAGGACAAAGCAAGAAAAAACATCAACTTTTAGGCTTAGCTTTAATTTTCCTCTTCTGCTCCTTGTCAGGCGCTTGCTCCTGTTCTTTTCTTTTGACTTTTGTTCCGCCTGCGGCTAGCGACTAGCGGCTAGCGGCCAGACATTAGAGATTCTCGCGGATTGCATCTGGGCTCCATAGAACGGAGACCCTTTTTACTTTTTGCTTTTGACTCTTCAAAATTCCGCCAGATTACTCTTGCGCTTTTCCAATTCTTCGGCAATCAATTGAATGTATTCAATTAATTTACGCGGGATTGACACGATGAGGAGCGGCTAATTTCCTCCTCTACCCAAAGCGTGACGCAAGGGCGCGGTCCATAATATCTGTGAGATCTAATCGAATCTTTATTATTTCCCCCAATTTATTGCTATTCGTGCATTTTCTGAATTAATTGTTCATGGGTATTTGATTAATTGAATATCAACGGCCGGATATTGGATTTAATTTAATAGCCTACTGCCATGTTAATTAAATAGAATCCGTAATTGTTCATTTAATTGACACCTCGTGGCAACCACCATAATTGGTTTTATGTTGGGGAAACGCAAGATCTAATTTAAATAAACCCTCTTAGCGTGTTTATTGGTTAGGGTTGGGTTCTTCTAGCTTTAATGCAATTGGGTAATTAAATTCCTATGGTCGTACCTAGGGTTGTTATCTGGTTAGGGAAGCAGTCAATGGTCGTACCTTGACTGTCGAATAGGTAAGGAAGAACTGGTTGTCAGAGCTTATTGATAACTATAACCAGTCTAGTGATGAATGGGTGAAATATCTTTGCATCGATGATCATTTAATTGGACCGTGCCTGAGCAGTTGATCCTTTGGGTGGAATCTTATTAATTGCTATTTTTAGGGAATTGTGCTTTGTGAGTTGGTTTTGAATTTAGTTCGCTTTATTTTTATTCTACTTTTATTTTATCTATTTCTCTCCCATTGAAAATCCCCCAATTTTGTTCTACTGATTTGGAAAGAAACAATTTCCTACCTGCTCCCTGTGGAATCGACCCTACTTGCCATTGTACGCAAAATTAGTATTTTTATAGACAAATCCGGTATATCGGATCAAGCAAACTCTTCGGGAACAGGGTGAATCAAGTAACCCATTGCACACCTAGGGTCCCTGCTCCAGTACTTGGATTTGTTCTATAATTATTTAATTGAGGTGGTAATTAGGACTTTTTAGTAATTATTATTGCACAGGTTCGGCACCTGTCAGATATCCTAAATCCAAACCCAAGAATATGGAGCAAGCCACGTAATGCCTTTTGCAATCCCCATTGCAATTTTTACCGTAAACCTGTTGTGAGTAAAAAAGAGATGATCATAGAGGTTTCCAAATTGGGCTATCATATTCTTCCAAGAATCATGAGCTCAAACATAAATTGTCAATCAATTCTATCAAAATGATGGAGTTTGAACCTCAAATAGAAAAAAAAAAAAAAAAAAAAAGATAACAAAGTTCCTTGATGGCAAATTGACACATGTTTGAAAACAAAGAGCACAAAACCATCATTAAATTCAGCAAAACGAAATTACACAAAATAGGCCAACGGCAAAATATCTGAATAATCTCGTTGATTGTTTCCACCATATCTTGACAAGAAAAGAGCCATCGATCCTTTCCAATTTTTACCTTAATCTTCCACAAAAGCACCAAAGAAAGTCAGACCACGCAGATGATCAATTACAATTTGAAGAGGAAAACCGCCGCAGCACTCCCTGATGATATCATCAAGAAAAAAACAGAGCAATAATTAGTTGTTTGTCATCAATTTCAATGTGCTCGTGCATGCATTACAGGCAATTGAAGTCCAAATAAGCTACCAAAAGGTAAATATAAATTAACTGAAAAAAGCATGATTATTTCTACAAGCAATTAATGGTAATGACAAAAAAAATTACCAGATATTGCACCAGCTGATGCCCTTCAATATTTTACATAATGATCTTCAGATTCTCATTTCCAAAATCTTTCTGTGCTTCTTCAATTTCCCGTACTAAAGATTTGACACCATCTCCACAAACCTTCAACTGAATTGTTTCAAGAGTTGGAATAAACCCTAAACAAGCAGGCATCATTTTCAATTTAGAAATTCCGTCCAGTTTTAATTGCTGAAGACACGGGAAGTAATAACCATCACTGTTAGGGTCTGCCTCTATCCACTCCGCAACTTTTACATATTCCAAAGTCAAGACCCTGAGTTTAGGGAATCCTCCTTCCATCAGCTCCCATCTTTGGCCGTCCATTGACAGCCATCTTAACTTGAGGACTTCAAGGTTGGATAGTTGTTCAATCAATGACATTTTACCACAGGGAAGACCCAGAGCTTCAAGACTCAACTTCTTCAAATTCTTGGGAAAGGAAAGCTCAACATGTTCCCGTGAATCTGAGGAGTAATTGCCCCGCCAGGTGAGTGATTCTAGGCATTCTAGTCGCCTCATGTTCAACACTCCATTTCCAGTCTGACGATCGGAAATTTTAAGTCGGCGAACGTTGGGAATCCTTCTCAATAAGTTCTCTCCCTCTTCATAAAGATACAAACAAGAGAGTGTGTCTAAATTGGATAAAGTGGAGAGGTTTTCAACACCGTTGTCGTTGGAAGAAAGACCAATAACAACGCCACCCCTCAAACAGGCATGCCTCAACTTCTTCATGTTCCAGATGCTATCTGGCAATGAAACAACCGAGGTGGAATATAGACAAAAGGTTTCCAAATGTGAGAGCTTGGCTACAGATGGTGGAATGAATTTCATGTGCCGAGCTGTAAGGGCTAAGTACCTCAAACCAAGAAGTGATTCGACTTCAGTTGGAAGCTCCTTCAGCCTTAGGTTAATGCCCTCTAAATTCAAAACGTTAAGATGTTTGTAGATGCAAAAAAGGAAGGAGATATTAAGCAAGTCAAACTCACATCCTGGAGTAGCACCAAAGAATAGCAGAGTACCTAAATATGGACAAAATAGCTTTGACTTTATAAAATCTTCTCCACTGGAGCAAATGGACAACCGAGGTAGGTTGGGAGGCTCATTAAAGGTAGAAAGCTCATCATATCGTCGCAGGACCTGAAGGAAATTCTTTTCTTTCGCCTCGCCCTTACAGAACTCAAATATCAAATCGTGAATGTAACAAGTTTTGACTCCACCAATGGATCTGTTCTTACCTACCATAACTAGGTTTCGGCCAATTAGCTCCATCAGATATTCTTCTGCAATATCCTCTGATCTCTTTCCTTCAATTATTTCCACAAACCCTTCTGCAATCCAGAGACACATCAACTTCTTGGCACCAATTTTTTCATCTTCTCGAAATGCAGCAAAATACAGCAAGCATGCCTTCAAGTGATATGGTAGATGCTCATAACTAAGCTCCATCGACCTTTTGCATTGTTCTGCATCAGACACGGTGGTTGAAGTTAAACTTTCAGCAAATTCTTCCCAAACACAAATATCATGCTCTATAGTTGCTAGTACTCCAGCTACAACAACAAGTGCAAGTGGCAATCCCCAGCACTTTTTGACAATCTCCATTCCCAATCCATGCAATGCTTGAGGACATTCTTCTTCTTCTCCAAACACCTTCTTCTGCAGCAATTCGAAACTCTCTTCGACAGTAAGGCGGCGAATCTTGTGAGGTTCTCCACCATATTGAACCTGTGAAGCTACATTAGAAGATCGACTAGTGAAGATGATTCTACTTTGGTTTTTGTCATCTGGGAATGAAATTCTCAGCTCATTCCATACCTTAATGTCCCAGACATCATCAAAAACAACAAGATACCTCTTCCGCTTCAGCTTTTTGTAGAGCTTGTCAAGCAATTCATGTTCATCCAAGTTTTTAAGCTCTTCATCCATCCTAGACTGCTCTTCATCGGAGCACAAAATTTGTATTAACAAGCTTTTCTTGTTAAATTCTTGAGAAACAGTGCACCAAAGACGAATGTGGAAGTGACAGGTTACTGAACTATTATTGTAAACTTTTTTGGCTAAAGTCGACTTACCAAGCCCAGCCATTCCCACAATGGGAACAATTTCCACCTGTTTTGATCCCTTTACAAGTCGTTCAATTACTTTTGCTGCCTCATCATCAAGACCAACCATGATTTCACGAGCTATTGGCATTTTACCTTTTGATAGTATGCGGCTAGAAGTCTGGCTAACTTCTGGTGCTCTTAAGCTATGAGAGGAATTAGGAAGACTCTGTATAGTACTTGAGACACTGAGCCGATCCTCAAAATCCTTGATAAGTGTTTCAATTACTTTTTCTTTCTCATCATCAGGACCAACCATGACTTCATGGTCTATTGGCATTTTACCTTTTGATAGCATGCGGCTGGGAGTCTGGCTAACTTCTGGTGCTCTTAAGCTATGAGAGGAATTAGGAAGACTCTCTATAGTACTTGAGCCTCTGATGTGATCCTTAAAATGCTTATAGGATGTTGGTATTGGCCAGCATATCACAAAAATCAAGAACCTGGGTGGATCCTGAGAAGCTAACTTCTCCTTCTAGCACTCTGCTCAGAGTGGGCGAGAATATTAAAATGCCTGCCTCACCAAGGAGAGCTCCAATTTTTTCATTTTGTTCATCCATCATCTCATGATGCTCCCTTAAAATGCTTCTCAAAAACCTCAGTCCTGCATAGAGTATTCGCATTTCATCTTTCATAGAATCCACAAAGCTAGAGCTGCAGCATAACAACTCCCAGAGACGACTTATCAGAGAATCATTGAAGTTGTTCAATATCTGCTCATCCATCACTGCTCCAATTTTTTCATTTTGTTCATCCATCATCTCATGATGCCCCCTTAAAATGCTTCTCAAAAACCTCAGTCCTGCATAGAGTATTCGCATTTCATCTTTCATAGAATCCACAAAGCTAGAGCTGCAGCATAACAACTCCCAGAGACGACTTATCAGAGAATCATTGAAGTTGTTCAATATCTGCTCATCCATCACTGCTGCATGTAATGATGCTGAGGAGTTTGAAGCTGCAAGTACTTCCTTATAAATCTCATAGACATGAAAATCAACCGCTCTGATGCTGAGGAGTTCGAAGCTGCAAGTACTTCTGTAGTATAACCCAGGATTGTGAATTGCCTCAAAATCATCCCAAAAGGACCACATGTAAGAGAGGCGTGCTGCGGTCAAAGCCACCACTTCAAAGTGAGCCAATAGCAAGGCAGGAATATCTGCGGTTCCTCGCATTTTGGCAAAGGGAATGAAGCTTTTCAAGAACGTCAGCTTTGCTTCAAGATCTTGGACTTGAGCACTCAAAGGACCATAATCACTAATATGCCAATCCATATCGTCATTTGTCAAATCTGCTAGATTTTGGAGAATGAGGTCTATGAATTCCAACAGTTCATCATCTGTCATACAAGAATTTGATTGAAATGACCTGCTGCTTGCCAAAGCAAAGTAAATTTGGATGATTTCTTGCTTCAGTGATTTGATCTGTTTCTCAAGTTCCCTGAACATGCTATCATAACTACCAATAGTATAGTTCTCAATTTCTGATCTAAGGGAAAGAGAGTGAATATCCTCCTCATATTTGTGATAGGTATCTTCGATGCAAGATAAGAAAGATGGAAGACTCGCCTTCTTCACAACATTGTCAGATTCCAAGTAAAAATCATTGCTTTGGCTCCACTTTCTAGCACACATAAGAAATGTTTTGAGAAATTTCATGTCTTTGATTGCATCACGAACATCGCAAAGAACATAACTGTCTCGGGAGGTTTTCAGAATTAACTCTAGACGAGGTAAGACACGATCGATGCTGCAAGTGGAGGCCATCTCCATCTCTTTTGGAGGGATTTTCGTCAGTTTCATTCCCATATTTTAAGAGAGAAACAAATCTCACTAACTGCAGAGCTAGCAGGTATTTCTTTCCTGAAAATTGCTTATTTGTTTCTGGTGCGAAGGTGAAGAAGAGTATTGAGACAATCAACCATTCAACTAGGTGGAATTGGCATCAAGGTGGACCCCAGGCAATGATAATCAATTATTCAACTAGGTGGAATTGGAGCTAGGCACCCAAAATCCAAATTTATCTTGAACTAATTATAAATGGAAATTGATAAAAATTAGTTGACTCTGTCATCAACATTTTATTAGGGAAATTTGATATTAGGGATCACATAAAAGCCTATATTTTAAGACAATAACAGCAGTGGTTAGGGTGATTTTTGATGATTTTATTGTCCAAAGCAAGAGTGGTCCAGAGGATCAGCCCCTTCTCTATTATTGCCTCAATAAAGCAAAAGGGAAAAAACCACTTGCAGACACATTCAAGTAGTGGGTGGACCTTCGACAAGTAGTGGGTCCGATTTCATAGAATTATTGGGAATGATTGTTGTCCATTCCCACACAATGGCGTCCCTTTTCTTATTGCGCGTCCCTGTTTTAATATGTTTAATTCCACCTTCTCATCACGAGGCAATCAGTTTAATATATTTTTTGCTCCAAGCATCCACAGTTTAATACGTTAAACTTTATAATTAGGAAGAACAGAAAACAAAGAAACATCAAAATATAAATGATCCAAGAGACGTCACAATATAAATGATCAAAATATAATGAACCGTCAAGCTAGCTCTCTAATTTTCTTCCATTGATTTCTTTCTTCAGCAAACCACTAAATTTGATCACTTTCGCTTCTAATTATCTCGTATTAATAATCATGATCATTGATCTTGGAGATTAATAACCATGACCAACAAAGTAAAAAGTATGAGAAAAAATAATTGAGGGCTTCTTCAACCCTTGAAATTGTGGAAGCAGAGAATTTGGGATTTCTGCAATGAATAGTATCAATTATATCATAAAATATATGCATTACAATAATAAATGTAAAGTCTAAGATAATAAATATAAACGGTAAAACGTTAATTTGCAAAATTAATGTTACCAATATACAATGGTCAAAGAAAATGATTGGATTAAAGAAGTGAAAATTGCTACTAATTAGTAGTAGTACTTCTTTTCAAGAGTCAGGACTTAAATGCATGCTCATTATTGTACAAAATTATCTACTTATTTCATAAACATATTTTTCAATCACTTTTTTTATTTCATATATATCACATCAAAAAAATAATATAATACTTTTTAAAAAAATTATTCCAAATAATCTCACGTTCAAACACAAGTTTATGCCCATTTCAGTGTTACTTGGGCCATTGGAAATTAATTCTAGATTTCTCATTACTCATTAGTCTTCCTTCCACTAGGGCTGCAAACGAGTCGAGTCGATTTTTGGGCTAATCGAGCAGAGTCTCG